ATTATATTTTGTGCAATCACACACCAAATATTAAGATGTATTCTATTTCACACAATATAGTTTTTTAGTTCTGTTTTAATTTTGCTCCCACCTCCCCCTGTGAGTTTCTGACCATTACCACTCACCCTCCTGAATATGTCTGTCTTTGCCTTTTATCCTATTTTTTTGCAACATTTATAATCTTTCTCATTAGGATTAAAACTGTTTTAAAACCAAACTATGAGGCACTGTTTATTATATGACCACCCCCAGTAAAAGCAAAGGTAACAGTTTCCTGGAAAAAAATCTCTGTACCTACATAATCCCAGTTTTTATGCAACCCTTAGTTTAATCTCAGATAAATATGCTTTTGCTAAATGTGTAATCTTGTAACTCGCTTATTGCTTATATGCTCACTAAACTTTAAGTAAGGTTGTAGGTTTGTTTTGGAAAAATACATTTAGAATTGTTGTTTAAATGGTAAAAACCATTACTTATGTTCACACAAGTCTTCATAGCAGAGGTGGGCAATGCTGGTCCTCGAGGGCTTCTATCCTGTATGTTTTACTTGTTTGCCTGCTCCAACACACCTGATTCAATGACTGAATTGCCTCTTCATGTTCTATAGAAGCCTGTTAATCAACAGTTCATTCAAATCAGGTGTGTTGGAGCAGAGAAACAACTGTTACTTTCAAACTCTTTGGTGATGATATAAAAGAGCCATAACTGGTTCAATCAGCTCACAGAATGTTGCACTTGAAGTGTACATACTCAGAAGGAGGAATGAAAAAAGACCATCTAAATGGAAAAGCTTCAAAATGCTACAGAGTCTTGCTGTGGGGACAAAATATAGTGAGGTAACAGCCTCGAATGTTTAGACAAAATATAAAAATGTTGCAGTTAAAAGCACTTTGTTTCAGAACTGAAGGTGCCTTTGACTGCAACATTTTATATTTGACTCCAGTAATATTTATTATTTTTCAGCACAAATGTTAAGTCTGTCACCAACMCAATGTCATTATATATTAATTATCAAGCAAGGCACATTAGAAAAGCTAAAATAAGCACACATATTGTTTTCTTTTGTACATGACTCTTCATTGTGAAATATTTTTGTTTCTATACTAATGATTCTTGTCTTTTCTATCTTTCAAGTTATCATTTAATTTTTATTTTACATTTCATTGTCTTAGTCTGAAAAAAATTCAGCTGTGAAGAAAAGCTTTGTTATTGATTGCTGTCTATGTTTGTTTCTCAGGGAGACTATGATCCACTCAAGACTCGAGTTATTCACCTGAGAATGAACCCCACCTCAGCTGCTAAGCAACAGCGCCAGCAGGAATTGGAGTCTCTTCAGGAGGAAGTGACACGGCTCAGGGAACTTGTGCGGTCCTTGCAAGGAGGCATCACGGTGGGCCTTTCACATGATGACTCCTGTATGAAAAATCCAAGCCTCAGCCTCAGTTTACCTCCATCAAAGGAAGTACTGGGTAAGATTCACTACTCTGGCACACACCAATAAGCTTCATTAAAGAAATGGCCCGTTTAAAAAAATAATAATCTCTCGACATTACCTATTGTAATTGGTATAGCAGGACAAAATGCATTTATGAATATAACTGAAGTTTTATATTTAATTTTTATTATTAATAGTTTTAATTATTTAATTGTTGGTGAACATGAGATCACAATTTTTTAAATAGCATTTTGTTTAAGTAATGTTTGGGAACATAAAACTATTTTGTTATGGAGATCTTTGATTTCTGTTTTGTTTTTAAAATAAATCTGCTAAATGTGTTTCTGCTACCAAAATGTTTTTCTTTTTGAAGAACTATTTCTACTGGGGAATGATTCATTAAAAATTTAGGTTACTCAGACCCCTGTCTTCATAGTTTAGTGTGAGACAAGCAGGGGAAGGGCACATAGTTATGGCAGGGTTAAATATGAAATTGGGCAGGTCGTTGGCAAACGTCTGTTGACCAATTTGTCTTCTGAAGTGCGGTTCTTGCTTCTCTCTCTGACTTTCTCTCCTGCTCGCTGATACAATGTGTCATTTCTTTTTTGATTTCTATAATTATAACTTGCTACTTTCTGTTTTCTTTTTGTAAAATTGTTTATTACTCTTTTCATTGTCACTTTCTTTGTCCTTGACACATTTTTTTTCTTGTGCGCCTCCTAATGTCATGAATTAGCAGAGTTTCCAATCAGTCTCCTACTTTTAATCTGTTTGCTCAGAATTCACAGGACAGTTTGTCTTTAGTGTAATTCTCAAGACTCTTACCATACATTCACATTGTTTAGATTTTTTTTTTAATTTATTGCAGGCCTGGTATACAAAAATGTTTTAGAAGTTGGAGTAAATACTTAAGAACTCTAGTACATGTGTATAAACTATAATGATGTTAATATATACGTATAAATTAAATAAACAATAATCTCTTTGTTTTTATCTGATCTGTATCTTTAATTAGCATCCTTATTTTGCACATATGTATTATGAATGGATCGTTTTTTATTGCTAAAAGATTCCTACAAGTACTTTTGTAATAAATATTAAATCTAAGTATTGTTGAACATGGAACTGGGTTATGTGAGCTTTATTGCAATGTACAGCGTGTATTGCAATATGTTCAAATACACCTGTAGTAAATATTATTATTATATGTTGATGTTTAATCCAGCGTCATACCCAATGGGAATTCTTGACTTACAAAAACTYTGTTCCGTCACTGGGATAATGTGAAAACAACAGGCAGATTCCATGTTCCAAATTCATGAGGCACTTTTATCAGTCTAGCTCTAAAACAAAAGTTAAAGTGCAGTTTGTTAAAATAGTTTAAAAACAAAAGGCAGTCAAGTGAGAGTGTAAATTACTAAAGCAAACAATACACAGTACATCATGTTTGGGGAAAAACAAACACTTGAAACTAATAATTGTCATCACAGTTAGAAGTCATTTGATGACAATAGACCAGAGTAAAATAATAACAACTAAACATGAAACAGTTGATACAGTATGAGTACATAAATGAGCAAAAGACGCATCAAAAGAACTTTCAGTGACCAGTAATCAGAAATGTAACCTATTAAATCAGCGTCACATCTTTGTGAGAGTGAGAGTCCTCCATTGCTCGCTTGCAAATGGTTCAGAATGCAGCAGCCCGATTTGTAACTGGCACAGGTAAAAGAGMACATTTTACTCCTGTTCTAGCATCTCTTCACTGGCTTCCGATTCATTTCAGAATTCACTTTAAAATCCTCCTGTATGTCTTTAAATGCCTAAACAACTCCACCCCCTCTTACCTCTCAGATCTAGTGCATCCACTTGTYCCACAGCGCTCTCTTAGATCATCTGGTCAGCTGCTTCTGAAGGTCCCTAACTCTTGTCTTAAACTGAGAGGTGACAGATCCTTTTCTGTAGCAGGTCCAAAACTGTACGTCAGACAGTCTCCTTCCCTTGCTGTCTTCAAGTCTCGCTTAAAAACACACTACTACTCCCTTGCCTTAGAGTGAGTGAGATGGTGCAGAACCTCACTGTGTATCATAACTCTGTTCTATATGTGCTGTAAATATAAATGCTCCATATTTTTATCTGTATTTTGACTGTAATTTCAACTATGTCCTGTTGTGTCTGTCTACTGTACAGCACTTTGGTTGGCCTTGTCCTGTTTAAAGTGCTTTATAAATAAAAGTGGTATGGTATCTTGTTAGAGATAACAGTCCTCATATACCATAGTCATTAGGGGTGTAAGAAAATATCGATACACTTAAATATCGCGATATTTCATTTCCTGATACTGCATCGATATTCTAAAGTCCTGTATCGATATTTAATTAAGGTTTAAAATGTCAACTTTCCTGCCAGCCGTTCATTTTTATGTTGTAGTTCAGCCTCTGACCACTAGTWRGCAGCAGTGAGCCAGMCATTTGGCTCCTCTACCTCTTGAGCRCYAGAGAGTAAGGGTAGCATTAGCATTGTGAGTAAACATTAGCTTCATGCTCCGATAGCTGAATCTGAGCGGAAAAGACCGACCCCTCTGCCTTGTAAACTGAGGTAAGGTTACAAACAGTTACTTATTTATCAGAATATCTGTATTTTAAGACAAATTAAGTGTCTTATGCGCTTTTTTCCAACTTTAGTCAGTCTTCACGTTACAGAAGGCTAGCGCATGTCTATGTAATAGAAATTTCTGAGACAATGAATTTTGGTTTTTCATTTTTTTTCCAGTAAGAGGTTTTTATTTAATAGAATTTTTGGACCAAAAAAAATTGCAATACATCGCAATATATCACCTTACTTACAGTATCGCAATATATCGGGATATATCGTATCGTGACTCGTCTGTTATGATATGTATCGTATCGCCAAATCCTTGCTAGGCTTGCTATCATAGGCTGCTAAAAATGGAAAGTTGTGACCAGTATGATAAAATAATTGTTTTCAAAGCTTAATAATCACTTTTCCCAATAAACTTTTATACAAGACAGCAGTTCAGCAACCACATTAAAAGCACATACAGTGAACAAATTATCAACCATTTCACACTGGCATCAATTAACAGCTAATTTCTCCTCTGACCCCTTTTATCACAAATATTTTTTTTCTTCATGTAATGCAAAACAAACTCTGACAGTTGTTTTGACAGTTACATGCTAGCAAAGTTAAACGTCTCTGAGTTCTGCAGCAGCCTGCAGTTACTAACTTTTTTCACAGATCACATTGCTCTTGTAGTATTATCAAGCAAGTTGAAGCCTCCAAAAGGCCAGAGTAATCTTATGATAAGCTGACTTCTATAAACTTTCTAAATCAAATGCTAACTCTTGCAGAGATACCTAAGCCTAAACAAGCACAACCTCTTCCTGTAATTACACCGTTCTTGTTTCCTTGCAAAGTTGACAACACTCCTGAATGATGGACCCAGCACCATTCAGACACAAGTCAGCTGTTTATACCTTTGTCCTCCTATGAATGTTTGCTAACTTTTGTTGAGCTGTATCCTTCATTTCTGACACAAACACAACCACTGCTGGAGAATTTTATAAATGAGCACGAATGGCTGGGGGAAAGAAGGGGATAATAGTTGACAAAGTGAGTTGTGATGCCTTAGAAGAGCATGGGAAAAGCTAAACTTTTAGTGAATTTCAGGTGGCTTTAAAAAAACAGTTAAACTAAATGCKTGATGGTGACGAACAATGCTTGATAAAATTAAATATGTTTTGTATTTTTATAAATATATGGCTGCCATCACTTAAGCATGATTCTTTTTCTTGCAGCTCACTTTTTCTGTCCTGTACTCAGGAGGTAAACTTCTTTTACTGTCACTAGCATTTTCTCATCTAACTGCTCATGTATGTTTTAACTAAAAACAGTATTTTTTTTAGGTGAAGAGTTTAATAACTTGTTAATTTCTTTGTGAGCGCAATGTCACCAGAACAGGATGTCACAGGTTCTGATGTGGCTTTGTTATGCTTGCTMTTATTTCATCTTAATTTAATCAATAAAATGATTTATGCCTAGAACTGATTACATTTATTTTAGTACATTTAGATATATTCAAAGCAGTTGAGGGTTTAAAATAGAGAAAAAAACAGCATATTTTTATTTAAAATAACAGGCAAAAATCAGCTATTTTGTAAACTTGAGAGAAAAACTTCTTTAAATATWTTTGAATTGGTAACGCAAGACCAAGGTTGTTGTGTTCACATAAACATTTACTTGTGACTTCACAAACATTTACATGTTGTTGAGTCTGTTTTCTTGATCATTTTTTTCTGTAAATTAGTATAATGTGCTGCTGGAACTTAAACATTTACTGTCATTTTCAAAGTTTCAGAGTTGTTGGACAGCTTTCAAATTGTGACAGTTTTTTCACAATCTTGGCTACTTGCAACACTAACAGTATTGATTGACACATGAGAGGAATCCATCCACCCAGAAGACAGACAAGCACAAAGACAGTCACACTCTCTGACTGAAAGTTTTACTATAGCTGTTCTGTTATTAAYGTCTGTATGTATGGAGGTACGTTTTGTGAAAAGCAGAAAAAAGGGTAACAAATGGTCAATGATTAACCATTTCTAAATAAGAGGTCTGTTTTTCTAGCATTGGTTTAGTACAGTGTTATGTTTCAGTGTAGATGCGCATGGAGCAACTAAAATGCTTTTGACCTTTTGACTTAAGTAACAGAAGCTTTTCAGAAGTGTTGATCATGCTTTATGTTTTTACAGTGTTTTAGTTGGTCTCAAAATCAAAGGTTTGATCCAAACGTTTGATCACCAAAAAAATAAATAAATAAAATAAATACTATTACAAAAATTGAGGTCTGTTCRAGATGCAGCTCCCAAATTGAAATGGTTGAAAAAAAAAAACACTTTCTTGACTAGAAGGTTATGTACTTGTTTCAGAAATTAGTAATGTGATACTAATTAGTAACTGTGATGGACTTGCGACCTGTCCAGGGTGTACCCCACCCTGTCACTGTGACTGCTGGATATGGACACCAGTGACCCTGAAATGAAGAAGCGGGTGAAAGAAAATAGATGGATAAATGGATMATTTAAATGGCTGAAACAGTTCTGAAGACAGTTGTCTTTTAGCCCATAGATATTTGTTAAGTATGTTGTTATTATGATCCCCGCACGTGAAGCTTAAGCGGGAGTCATATTGTTTTCGTACTGTTTCTTTTCTTTTCTTTTTTTTTCTTTTTTTTCAGTGATTTTTGGTCAACCGTACCACAAAAACGGCTGCACCGATCAACATGAAAT